TAGTCATTGGATCTGTAACATCTTTCTATGTTGACAATAACTATACTGTTGGGGTGAGCATTTAATAATGTGGGTAACTGTAAAAAAAAAGAAGGTATTTTAAACAGAAACATATTTACCCATTGACAGCAACTAGAGTGAGGCAGGAACATGATCCAGGTCACTGACAAGAGTCGCTCCAAATGGGTCAACTATGTCTTCCTGGGGCTGTATATTTGTCATCTGCCTACACTGCCCACATTAGGAGGATGCATATTCCTTGCCCCTTTATCTTTCAGCTAACCCTAATGCCAATGGCAGATGTGACCTAAAATTGAAAATGTCTGCTTGTCAACTTGAATCCTTACCTAGAAGTGATAAGATATCACAGGAAATCACTGAAATGATAAGAAGGGATATATGCACAGCCTAGAAGCCCGGGACTCATCGTTTGCGGCTGTTCAGTTTCACATCTTGCATGAACCATGTTCCCCAGGCACCAGTTTGCTATTCACAAAGCAGAACAAACAGTTAAATTAACTATAAACATTCCCCAAATCAAATATCCGTGGCATGAAAGAAATCACGCAGGATTTGAAGGAAACCAGAGTGTGCTAAAAATTATCTGTCTTCTCTCTGTTTATCATATGGGCTGTTGAGAGTAGAGCTTAAAATGAGGAAACATTTGGGCTGCTACTGGTATCAAGAAACTTCATCTGGGCCAATTCATGACAATAATGTCAGGTTTTGCTCTTTTAGTCACTATTTATAGTTAAACGAATAACAAGAGTTACCACTATACTGCTTATCATATGGCAGACATGGCCCTAAGTACTTTACATAAAGTAACTCATTAAACCCTCACAAAAACCTTTCTGAGTTGGATACTATTATTCTCGCCATTTAACAGAAGAAGAAACTGAGGCTCATAAGGATTAAGTAACTTGTCCAAGACCACACAGCTAGTTAGAAGCAGTGTCAAGACTTCAACCCAGGCAATGAGGCTGTAGAGTTCACCCTCAGAACCACACTGTAGAGTCGCCCACAAATACAAAGCCTATGTGTTCTCACTCAGCTGAGTCCCTATGACTCCCAGGCTCACAACTATCCTGGTACCCAACTGTCACTCTCAACAAATGACCTCCACTCCTCTTCAGAGAGAATACACAGGCTCCTCAGAAGAGACAGACCTGTGCCAGGTATTCTCTTTATAAACCTGCCCAAATCCTTCCTGTCATTTCAAAACAAATGCTCCCAGGCTCCAAATCCCATGCTCTCTTGCTGCCTTGGGAACCTTGCTCTATGAATCCCCTGTCTATCCTTCACCTTCCATCTCTTCTCTCTCTTTCCCGTCAACCTGTAAACATATTCAAGTACACCACCTGCCAAAAAAGCAATGGCCTTTGATCTCCATCCACTTTTAATTCTGTAATTTTGGCCACTATCTCACTCTGTGACTCTGTGACTTTCTCTAGTAGGCTTTCTCTAGTAGGCTTCAGCTTCTGCATCTAAATGAGGGTGCTGGACCAGAAGGTCTCTAAGGTTCTTAATGCAGTCCAGCCTGCACTGCCCCAGTCCTTCTTCCCATTAATTTCCCGAACCCTGATTCTCCTTAACACCTAGCTGAAACCCCATGTGCTCCAGTGTATCCTGATCTGTAGCTCTTGCAGAACTTACCAACCACAGTTGAGCACTTTCCATCAACAGTGCCATATCTTTCATGTTGCTATTCCTTATATCTTTGGTCCTTTACCACACCAAGCTCTCAGCAAACAGGGACTATGTCACATTCCTCTGCAACCCCTAAAAGACCTCACACAAAGCAGGTCTGTAAGAGTTGCTCAACAATGCTGACTGAGAAGCCAAGATACCAGCGAAAACCCTGCACAGCACTCACCTCCTCCACCCTAAGAGAGCTACCAATAATATATTATTCAGTATTGTGAGTACTGGTCTATTTGCAACAATCCTGTGTAACTACTGACTACTCAAAATGAATCCCAAAGTTCCCCAAACAGAATTTTAAATTCAGTTTAATTGTTTTAAATGAATGCTTCAGAATGCTGGTTCTCAACCTTGGCCACATGTTAGAATGTCTTATTTTTATTAATTTTTATCTAATTGGTCAGAGAGAGACCTATACACCTGTATTTTTTTAAAAGCACCTCAACTATACTGAATGAATTAAGGTATTACTATTAAATACTTTAGGTATGATTACAGCACTGTGGCTGTGTTTTTGAGAAGGTGTTCTTTATTAGTGGAAAATGGATGACATTCTAATAAAGTCTCTGTTTAGTGAATAGTACTGTATAATGTTCATTTCCTGGTTTTGATCACTGTATAAGCTTCTGTAAGAAGCTGTGTGAGGGGTATACAGAAACTCTGAATTGTTTTTGTGACTTTTCTCTAAGTCTAAAATTAATTCAAATTTAAAAGTTTTAAGAGTCCTTTTCTTTTCCTTTATTATTTCTTTATTATTATTTATTTATTTTCATTAAGGTATCATTGATATATACTCTTATGAAGGTTTCATAGGAAAAGCATTGTGGTTACTACAATCACCCATATAATCAAGTGCTCCCCATACCCATTGACGTCACTGTCCATCAGCGTAGTAAGATGCCACAGTCACTACTTGTCTTCTCTGTGCTACACTGTCTTCCCCGTGACCCCATGTTTGCCAATCATAATGCCCCTCAATCCCCTTCTCCCTCCCTCCCCACCCACCTTCCCCTACTATACCCGCCTTTGGTAACTGCTAGTCCCTTCTTGGAGTTTGTGAGTCTGCTGCTGTTTTGTTCCTTCAATTTTTCTTCGTTGTTATAAAGTCCTTTACTTTTAAAGATACATACTCAATATTTATGAGTGAAATGATATGCGTGAGATTTACTCCACAATAGACCACTGGGGAGGTGGCAGGGAATGGCTAGGATATGGATGGAACAGGAGTGCTCACAAGTCGATGTTGCCGTGGTTGGGCAATGAGTACACAAAGGGTCACAGGATTTGTCTAGGTCAGTGTGTGTGTAAAATTTTCCACCTTATATATTGGAGGAAAAAATTCCCAGGTGATTCTAACATGCATTCAGAGCCAAGAAACACTGCTTTGAACTCTTGAAAATGAAGTATGATGAGGACTTCTATCTGGTACTGCCAGCTACGAAATGCTTTACTTACTCTTTAACAATGAGCTGGTCATGTAATCTTTCCATACCATGCTTTCCTAAACTATGAAACACAGGTATGGATTAGAGCACCTTTCAAAAAGACAAGAAGCATTAAAAGTTACTTATTATTCTAAAATCTTCTCTCTAGAGTTAATGTTACAGTTAATTTCTGGTACAATCATCAAAAATGGTAAGGCCTTATATCGACAAAAGCATTTCTCAAAGTATGTTCCAAAAACACTACTTCTGTAGACGCTACCTAAGACAAGAGTTCTGAGGTCAAATAAGTTTGGAAAGTGCCAAGTTTCTTTCCTGTAAGATTCCTATAAATAATACAGTAATACAATGCATTATGACTTTTCAAGGGTGATGAAGGAATATGCAAAAAGTTTGACCTTCTTTACATAGAGCCAGTTTTACAGAACTTATTTTGGAAAATAGTGCTCTAGACCAGTGGTCCCAAATCCCAGGGAATGTACAATGGCATTAGCATAATTTGGTAAGCTTATTAATGTTTCACAGCCTACATCCTAGACCTACTGCGAAGAGAGAATTCAGTATTAAAACAAGCAAAAACTCGAGTGATTCTTATGTGCAATCGTGTTTGCAACTTGAAGCTCTGCAGATCATAATGTATTAAAGTAAATTTAAAATATTTCAAAGGCACATCAATGCCAACCAATATGAAAGGTCATATTTAAAAGTCTTCCAAATGAAAGTATTTAATCCATGAGAGAAGCATATATGTGCACAATATTTTATAAAAGATAACTAAAGAAAACATTGGAAGGGTTGGCAACTTAAATCTATCAATATAATTAATGACTGCTTAGTAGTCTCAAGGATGTACTATGTTGACTACTGACTGTTAATTTGCAGTGACTCTCAGCCCTTTACTTGGGCATTCCCTCATGTCCATCTTCTCTTGCCTGCATCAATGACCGTGACTATTTTGTTCAACAACTCCAGGGGGTGTCATTCACGTAAGTGCTTTCTCCAGAGCTCCTGACCTTCTCTTTATATGACAATACTCCAAGATACAGAATATAAATCCCTTCTTTATTGAAAACTTTGGAAAATGCATTTACTTATACCTTCTCCCAGAGCTGTGCCATGGAGCAGCCCACTCGATATATTTAGATATTCAAAAGAAATACCTACTTACTGTTATTAATACTCAACATTACTGAGTGCTTTAGTTTAACAAGCACTTTCACATGAATTATCTTGCTTCTTTCTTCACAAAAACCTTGATTAAGTACAAACAATTGTTTCCATCCAAACACTTAAGAATCACTGTGCCTTCCATGTTTTAACACAGTGAAAAATACATTTGAGGGAGATATCAAGGCACCTGTTCTCAAATAACTCATACCCTATTGGAAAACAAAATATAAATTGAATATAGGAAACAGCTAAAGTCAATCTGAAGACAAAATATTAGCTAGAGCAAATTATATGGCAGGACTTTACACATACTAATAATAGCTAACACTGAGTAATTTAATCTTCACTCAACCCTTGGGGTAGGTTACTACTATCATTCCCATTTTTCATATGAGGATACTGAGTCCAAGGTAAGTTATGTAGCTTACCGAATCAAGTAAGCAGCGAACCAGGATTCAAGTTCCAGATCAGTCTAGCTCCTTGGACCACATTTTTTCACTATGACACTTTACTGCTAGGAGAGATAATCTCCCCAAAGTGGTGGAGACAAATGACAAGACTTGGAAAATGGCTACTTCCCATAAAGCTGGGATCACTGGCTCTACTGCCCAGGAGAAAAGGACCTAGAGGTCACAGGATGTCACAATAATGAGTCAGTGATGTTACTTTCCCACAGTACATTACCTCTTTGATTCGTTTAACCAAAGCATTCTGATCAAAAGCGACAGCCTCTGCACACTGATGGAGGTGATCCTGATACCGGAGGCAGAGTTGCAACACCTGCTGGGAATCCAGTTTCTCCAATTTGGCATTTGTTGGGGAAGTCTGGCCACTCAACAGTCCTTCAAAACAGAAGAAAGGAACAATATCCAATGAAATGGAAACTACCGTTAATAAACTTGTGACTAAAGTAGCTTAAGTTCACTGAAGACAGCAAAGACTAAAATTTAATCTTGCATCTTTTGTTACATGGTAATGACAGTCATAGCAACTATCATTTATGGAGCAGCATTATGTACCAAGCACTTGCTGTCCTGTGTATTATTTTTCATACTCATAATTGTCCTGGTAAGTAAGATATTATTAGCCCCATATTACAGATGAGGAACCTAAGACACAGAGAGGTTAAGTAACTTTCCTAAAGTCACATAGCTAGTAATTGGTTTCTCCAAGACGAGCTCCTGATCTTATGACACTATTTCAAGGTATCAAGAGTATAAATCCTTTCTTGATTGAAAACTTTGGAAGATATACTTATTTAGTTCTTTTTAATAATTAAAATGGTTGCCTGTGAAATCAAGAAAAGGAAATAAAACATGTAAGGAAACTGTTGGGAGGAGATGCAAAAATGAAAAATTTTTAAAGTGAGCAGAATGACAGCTAATGCCCCAGAAACTCATTCTTCACATTTTCTTCCAACATCAGTTTACTTGTGAAATTATTAAATTCCATTACATTTGCATAGGACATTATATTTGCAAAGCCTTTCATATAGAATTATCTTACATTTCTTTAAGGAGTGTAGAACAGGAAAATTATTAGCGTTTACAGAACAAATCAAAAAGGCTAAAAATGGCTTGCCCGTGGTCACACAGCAAAGTTCCGACTAGAACTCAAGCCTTCTGACATTCGGCCAAGAGCTTTCTGCCAAGCCACAGTACCCTGCAATAAATATGACAGTGAGGCACAGGCTGGGCACGACCAGGAGGGACCCACCCACACCAAAGTTCATCCTAGGAGCCCGTCCCCACTTCTGCCTCCCAATCACCAATGTCATTCTCTCACTGGTTCTGAGGTACTGGAGCCTAAGCCAGTGTTCTTTTTCCTCCAAACAGGATGGGTGATGGGCTACCCAGGTGGGCCATCCCAAAGAATCCTTGGGAATGCCGGTCAGGACCCTCAGATCTTCATCTGGCCTGACAGAGCCGAGGGCAGCGTGGAACCTGAGGCGCTGCTCCGCTTCCCCACTTGCCTCTGCCCAGCCCCTGGACCCTCAGCTGTCCCACTGCTCATCCCAGCACAAGAGAGCAAGCCAAACCTGCCCCCACATAGTAGCTTTTGATGAGGCTAGTATTCACAGAAATGGGGATTTTTAAATTGAAATTCTTTTTGAGGTCCTGTGTACAAGATCTTGTGTACCCCTTTACCCAGTTTCCCCCAACAATAATAGCTCGCAAAAGTACAATACAATCAGAATACTGACATTAATACAATCCATTGATCTTATTCAGATGTCCCCTATTTTACTTGCACCTGTGTGTGTGTGTGTGTATGCCTGTGTACAGTAGTCCCCCTTATCTATGGTTCTGCTTTGCACAGTTTTAGATGCCTGTGATCAACTGCTGTCCTGAGATGCTCCTCCTTCTGACCTATCATCAGAAGGTCAATAGTGGCCTAACACTTCACCGTGCCTACATCATTCACCTCATTTCACCTCATCATATATGCATTTTATCATCTCTCATTACTAAGAAAGGTGAATACAGTATAGTAAGATATTCTGAGAGAGATCACCCTCACATAACTTTCATCAGTATATTGTTATCACTGTTCTGTTTTTAGTTATTGTTGTTGATCCCTTATGAGCTTAATAAACTAACTTTATCATAGGTATGTATGTATAGGAAAAAACTTAGTATATTCAGGGTTCAGTACTATCTGTGGTTTCTGGCATCCACTGGGGTCTTGGAGGGTATCACCCATGGATAAGCGGGGACTGTACTTAGTTCTATACAAGTTTTTCACACTTACAGGTTTGTGTATGCACAACCTCGATCAGATACTGAGCCAGGCCATCACTACAATGATTCCTTGCGTTGTTTTTTATAACCACATCCACCTCTCTCTCTCTCTCTCATACCTCTTCCCAACCTTAACTCCTGGCAACCACTAATCTGTTTGCCATTTCTAAAATTTTATCATTTTGTAAATGTTTTATAAATGGAATTAAACAATATGTAGCCTTTGGGGACTGATTTTTTCACCCAACATAATACATCAGAGACTCATGTAAGTTGCTGGATGTATAATAGTTTGTTCCTTTTTATTTCTGAGTAGTATTCCAAGGTATGTAGACAGCAGTTTGTTTAACCACTGAAGGACATCTGGGTTGTTTCCAGCTTGGGGCTATTACAAGCAAAGCTGCTATGAACAGTCATGTATAGGTTTTTGTGTAAACATAAGTTTTTATTTCTCTGGGATAAATGCCCAAGACTGCAACTACTGGGTTGCATGATAATTGCATGTTTAGTTTGATAAGTAACTGCCAAACAGTTTTCTAGAGTGCCTGTAATCAAGAAAATTGGAGATTTTTCAGACCACTAAAATCCCAACAAAATTTATCAAGGACTGCCCTGTCACTGACAAAAAGCACAGTTCCAGGAACAGACTCAGGGAGGAAGATAGTAGAAGCTTTTTGCTCTCAGTCAAAGACTGAAGAGGAAAAGACTGAGAAGTCACCGTGGAAAGAGGAATGAATGATTTGTGCCATCAACAGTGGGCCCTGATAATGCAAAGGCCATAAAGGAAACATTGCTAATGCAACAATATAAAAAAAAAATCAAGATTCCTCATGGCAAAAAAGCACCCTAAGTTAAAAAAAAATAAATAACTGGGAAAAATATTTGCAACTCACATCACAAGAGGTAAGCTTTCTATTATGTGAAGAGCTCTTAGAAATTGGCAAGTAAAAATTAGCATAAGAAGGATGGACAAAGGATATGAAAAGGCATTTCACAGGAAATACCAATGCCTCAACTATAGGAAAGGATGCAAAATCTCACTCATCATAAGAGACATAGAAATTCAAACCTTAATGCAAGCCCATATTTCACCGATCAAACTGGTAAAAATCCAAATGTATGATGAAAAAACTCAGTAGGTGGAACTATGAGGAAACAGGCATTGCTGATTAGTGGGTAAGTTATAAACACCTCCATGGAGGGCAAGCTGGCCTGGATATCAAAATTACAAATGCCTTTGATGCAGCAATTTCACTACCAGGAATTTATGCCCATACTGGCACATGTGCTAAGTGATAATGCATATGTAAGATTGTTTGTTATGGTGATTTTAACAGCAAAAGATGTGCAAACACTTCAATGTCCATCATAGGGAGTCTGTTAATTAAGTCAAGGTACATCCACAAACAGTATTATGACCATAGGAAAGAATGAGGAAGCTATGTATTCACATAGAAAATCTCCACAAGATATTAGGTAATAAAAGGAAGGTAAAGGATAACGTATTGAGTGTGCTTTCTTTTATACAAATGAGCATACAAATAAATAATAATACATATTCTTATTTGCTTATATTGATTTACATAAATGCTGGAATGACAAGAATTGGATGGAGAACAAGGGCAGGGAGACTTTCATAGTATAACATTTTTTATATCATATGAATGCATTTAAAAAAAATTCATTTTAACAAAAAGTGGTCAAGGTCTCCCACGTGGCAGCTATGTGTCCATGGGCAATTCTCCCCTCTTCCCTCACCCCGTATCCTCAACTCCATAAGCCAAAACCAAAATCCAGCTCCTTATGTTTCATTCTCACCAAGGTTTATATGGCTTGGAAGGTTTATATTATATGGAAATCACCTTAATACAGTATTAAAAGCCTCATAACAAACTGTGAGCTGGTAGAAGATAGGGAACATGTCAACTTATCTTTCTATCTCTAGTGTCTAGCATATAGCCCCTGCTACATAAAAGGTTCTCTAATTAGGTTAAGAAGGGGCAGTTGTGCCCTGTCCAAATCACAATTGTACCCTCCCCCTAATCATCTAAAACAAGGCCCAGCTATATGAGTTCTATTATGAGAATATGCTGCCTTTTTTTTCTGACTCACAGGAATCTCTGTAAATCTACCACAAATCCTGCTCCAGATCATGGAAAGCACAAGACAAGAGGAAAAAGAAGACAGGCCACTTTGTTCCTGAAGCTACAACCTGGCACCCAGGTCATTTCTAGAGATGATAAACACAAAGCTGTCCCATTACTCTTAAGCAGCAGGAACTCATCTTTTTCATTTTGATGACTGAACCACCCCTACAGCTTCTGATAAAGGAGAAGGGAGCACAGAAAGCTGAGTAAACTTAGAGGTGATAAATTTTGGCATTTTTAGGAGACCACAAACTACCAGTCCTCAGAACTGTTTTCATTTTCAATGCACATTAAAGTTTTTAAAAACTGCAGATGCTTTCAATGAGGTGTGTAGTCTCCTGCTCTCTCAATCCCCACCACTTCCTACTGTCTGATGGCCAGTCAGCTTCACTCACTCACATTACCTATCTGGCCTCTGAGGTTTACAGCCATTTTAATTCTTATTTACCAACTCTATAACCTAAATCCTTAGGTAATAGAGAAGGAACCACAGAACACCTTGAAATTGTTTTTTGTCTAGTTTCGTAAGTGTTATTTATGCTTAAGATTTTTTCCTTTTTTACTTATACAAAATTTCAAGCATATAGAAAGTAGGAAAAAATATATACCACATACTATCTAGATTCAACAACATTTTATCACATCTACTTCATTTTTCTCTATTTTCTATTCCTAAGCCATTGAAAAATCATAGACATCATCACACTTCACTCCTAATACTCAGTTCTTCCATGTTTTTATGCTTAGTTTTTCATGTTAAATAAAAGCTTCTAAATGATGTCTTAATGTACTAGGGAACAGGGCCATTATCCTCAGATTTTTAATTCTTCTTTTGCTTAAACTAGTGATGTTTATTGAGTTAAAAACCTGATAATAGGTTCCACATTTGCAAATGGTAAATACTGGAAACATTTCCTAAGACCCTGTTGAAACCACTGTGTTTTTACAGGAATG